TAAAAATAAAAGTTACATTATACATTATAATATCAATTTACACAATATATCCTGATGATAATAAATTTAAATCATATCTGTGATTATTTAACAGACACTTATATTAGTGAAGAATGCATGTTTCCTGCTACTATTTGGATAATGGGCAATTAGGCTTTTCTGACTTATCTAAAACCACAAATGCATGCAAGTATTATTCATATTTTAACCAATGTTTTTACAAAGACTCCTCTACAATTATGTATTGGTTGAATATAATAAATGAAATTCAAACAAAATCATAGGATGTAAAAAAACAATGTAAGAATATTCCAAAATTACCAAAAGATGGAAAAGTTTGGAATCGTTAGGATTCAAACCATACCAACAAAACAAAATATGAGAGAAGAAACAATACCAATAGAATTTTTAAATTTATTTGCTATAATTATAAAAAAATTAAATATCCCTATAATTTTATATTAATTGTGTAAATTTATAATATAATATAACTTTTATTTTTATATTTTTTACTTAATTCAATATGCAAATTGTAAATTAATAATATTAAATGATTATTAAATTAACTGGCAGTTTAATAGAAAAATAAACCTGAAGAACATTTCATTGGTGACTAAAATAGTGTACTGGCCGAAAACGGTGCTGCCTTGGCCATAAACATCATGCCGGATAATCTTGCATTCCTTATAAAGTTATAATATACAATGCGCACGACGCATATAATATGCAAGTGCTTTAACAGAAATGTTTAGAAAATGATCACATAATCTAGTGAATCGTCTTTTAATTACAACAAAATATCTATTAAAAATAATTTGATGTTCTCATCATATTAATTAATATTTGAACTTCAAACGTTCATAAAAACGTATGTTAATCTTCCCAAAGAAATTATTTTTACGAGTGTAAAAAGTGATTAAAAATTTCAAGATTTATCCTAATTTCATCGAATTTTAAATTTAAACGTATATGTATATAAAAATATAAATTAATTTTTTTATCTTTAAGTGTCACTAAGAACAATCAAAACGCTGAATTTTTGACAAACTAATGACAAAATCAGAAACAGAAACATGACTTTTTATGACAAAAAATTTAATCGTAAACATTTTAACACCAAGTGTGTTATAACAAATATAAAATTACTTTATAGTATTAATGTTATAACGTTATTTTCACATAGATCATAAACAATATAAAAAACTCCAAAAAAAATGTTCAGATTAAAATTAAATATGAGACATTTAATTAAGAGTTAAAGATTTAAACGAAAATATAGAACCCTCTATTGGTACAAGTTACTCTTGATATAAATATATGTAAAACTGATTGAATTTTAAATTAATTATTTAAGTGATTGCTAACAATGTATTTCATTGAAATAACTAATGTAATACGTCTCAACCACTATTTCCACCCCCCTCCCACCGCACACACATACATTTATGATTAAAATAAATAAAAACTAATTAGTTGTCTTTGTATAAAATACGCCATGTTTAACTTATTATATATTAATATAAATACTAAAGTTATGTTACAAATGAGATAAGTGCCTAGTTAAATAGCTTTAATGAAAGATAATTATCAAGTATGTTGATAGTGTGAAATATCATAGTAACATATTATACGTTAAGTAAAACGTACTGACATATTAATCAGATCAAAATGTACTATTTTTGGAAGTAGTACATGATGTAATCCTGTCGTTTAAATAATGAATAACTACATTAAAATTAAAATTCTAATAATAAATTATATTGTAAATTAAATAAGTATATTTTTATACATTTTTTGATAATTTTACGATATCTCCATGACTAACCATCATGAATCCTGAAAAAAAATGTAAAATGGGAATAGTACATTTTGAAATGTTGCTTTTAAAATTAAGTACATAACTAGAGAAAATAATATTTTTTTTCGAATTTCTTGTGTTAAAACGTATTTCATAAACCCATTGGGTTCTATTTGAAGTACATTTTAAACTCTGAATGGAAAAATAAATGTATTGATCTTACAATGCTTTTTTCTTCATACATAACGTTAAATAAATATAGATGTCTACATGGGTGGTAAATTCTTATTTATTGTGTTATTGATAATTTAATAAATGTACCTACCTCGTATGGTCGTGTGAGGAGACCACTGACCAGACATTCAGAATTTGGAATTTAACGAAATTGACATAGGTATCTTTTATGAATCGTCGCCATTCATCATTGAACCAAAAATCGAAATGCTATCTTTTGTTGTAAAATATATTATTATAAAAGTATAATACCTGAAAAATGTGGGAATGACCGCTGTCGTTGCTAATTTATGATTTTTAGGACAGCTATATAACAATTGGCAAGAAAAAAACTGTGGAAGTAACTGTGGAATGGTAAGCATAATACAATTTCTCATCATACTTGAGACAAGCGTATAAAGTAAGGACATTTGATAATATTTACATATTTGTATACGTGTAATAGATATAAAATAAATATTTTGGTTACATGAATTTTATTAATTTCGTTCAATTCGTCATAGTAACCATTCGTGGATTTTGGTAGTTAACGGTTTTAAAATATTATAATAAAAAAAGTACTACCTGCAGTATCATCAATAATGAGTATTATTCGTGAGAAACACGTCGGTATACTTTCACTTATATCTAAAATTGATTTTTTTACATAAAACATAATTAAACAATTGATTAAAATTAATATATACAGACATGTATATATACAGTTGGGCAAACATAAACTCCTCTAAAAACATTTTGCTACCATGTATTACACTTCCATAAATATTTGCATTTTTATTTCGATTTTTTCATCATTTATTTAAATTTTATTAATTAATTGATATTTTCGTTATCATTAAATTATTAAATCATTATCGTTATTATTAAACTAAGTATATTTTAGTTACATTCAATATAATAACCATTTTTTTAAAATAATTTTATTTTTGTAAATTCAAAATATATATTCGTTAAATTAATAATGTATTTGATAAAATTAACAAAATTCTAAGTTATTTTAATAAAATTTCGATAAAATATATTAGCTGAACTAAATAAAAAAATTATTAAATCAAATAATTTTTAATTTTAATTTTAACAAATATCTCATCTTTATATCAATAAGCATTTTATTAACTTAATATTAACAATGATATTATTATTAATTAGATAGAACTGCCTCCACGTGGTGTTCTCTGGGTTACGCTAAATGGTTCTAAATTTTTTTAGGGAAATTTACGTGAGTGTAATACGGTAGCAAAATATTTTTAGGGGAATTTACAAAATTTTAGGGGAGTTCACATTTATTTTGCCCATACAGTTATGACTATTAATAACTAAATACTAGAAAACATGCTTATCATTTAATCATTATTTAAACCTCGTAATTATTTGTATACTTACTTTTCCATATAAGGTATTTCGATAATTATTTTGACTGTTGATACCCAATTGTATACGAAAAACGATTCTGAACGGAGACAGTCTGTCAACCTAAATCACCGTGGATTTTAATATATATACTTATTAAAAGCGTTATTTTACATTTAGTATTACAAAAAATTGATATAATTTTTACCGAAAATATTGCATTAATTACATTTTTAGTATTTAGTTATAATCATATGTAGAATATTTATAACGTCATATTATATCAACTTACTTATATAAATCAAAATTTAACAACACCTTTCTGTAAATACCATACAGCAATGAAAATAAATTCATACCGTTATTTATAATTTTTTTGTTTAAATAAACGGTTTTTATGAAATATTTTTTATATTTAATTGATTAAGATGACGACATATTTTGTTTTTTTCAAACAACACGAAATTTAATCGTTTAAAATTCCTATCTTAGTCACCATCGCGTTTCCACGAGTGTGTTAATTACGCATTACATTAGCCGTCTAAAAAAATAATGGGTATATAATAGTAAATTCAGCTTGATAAGTGAACCCAAAAATAATTCACCTATAATTCTATCGTTTGCTATATAATAGAAATTTATTTTCCGTAAAATAATACTGAGAACATTTAAGACAATATTAGGTGCATACGTACCACACGTTAAATAGTTTGCTCGTTTACATAATGGACTAATGAAAAGGTACATTTAATATACCACTGTACTTATAATGCTCATTTTGGATGAGATTAAAGATTAAGACCATTAATAACCTTACTACCGGTACCTAATTACCAAATGCTGAAAAGTAGATAACCGAATACATGAATACCGTATTACCTATATCATTAAAATTTGATCCAGACATAATTTATTTAGTATCCATAGCACAACTATATATTGTTGTCATAAAACTGATTATTTATATATTAATATTATTTCATTTGAGCCTTATAAAATATATGTTTTCATCCTCGTTGATAAATGCCTAGTTGTCGCAGTAATACTTAACAGTATACTCTTTATAACGTAGGTATGTGGTCTGCATCGTCAGACCGATCACCCACGTCGTTTCAGCTAAAAAGGACAATCGGTCAATAGGGCGCCGGAGTTTTTTATGTAGACAGTAAGGAAAAAAAGGAAGAATAATATTACAGGTAAAATTCCAATTTCGTACGATTTATCATTTAATATTATTATTGTACTATATTATCCACACGTGCATATACGTCAAACAATATAAATACGCCACCGACTTATATATTGTTCGATGTATAACGCAGGTATAGAATATAGATATATGATTAATGACAATGCTTTCAACTCACAATCGGTGGTAGGGATCAACTCCACGACTGCTGCCAACGCCTCCTCAGTAGGTAACTTATAAAAGGGCGTGTAAGAGCTCAGCACACCCTCAGTGTACCAGTGTTCATTTGTCGTTTTACTTTATCTTGTGTCGTCAACAATTTTCTCAACCGTTACTTAGCTTGATTGCAATCGTTCTTAATAAACGATGGAATGCTTATTAAAATGGTTTTACATTTTACTTTTCATTACATCTTTCTGGGTGGCAGCCGAAAACTATGAAGATCCGTCACTAGATGAAGAAAAATCACGAAGTGAGTACATAATAATTCTACATTTAATCATTATGATTTATTATTATATTTGTGTTGATATCGTTTTTAAATATTAACTTAAACTTCTTTAAAATATTTTTATTAATCTGCTTTAAGTCTACTACCACGATAGTTATAACTTATACTTCATAATCATTTAATTGATTTTACTTCTCTAATATATAATAAAAATAATATGATTAATGATTATACTATATATACATATAGGTAGTCATATAGAGATTAAATGAACTCTGTGATTATTATTTCTTGGGAGGATATCAGCGCTTTGTTTTTTTTTCTGGCCCACGCGCGTAACATGGACAAAATGCATTTACGCAGAATCTTTTTTTTACGTTTTTAGATAATCGTTGAGTAAAAAACACTTACTACGAAAATTATAGGGGATATTTTTGAGAGTTTAACACATCGATTTTAAATGTTATCATTATTTGACTTAGTATTTAACTAAAAAAAGAAAATTTTAAATTTAAATGATGTATGCAATTTTTTTGAGACAATATTTAGAAAAATTGATATGTTTACCCTCAAAAATACTATTTTTTATAACTTTTGTTATGGGCTAACATGAAATTATTTTATTTTAGTTAAATATTTATGAATTGTATTGACTTATCAACTCCCAACCCGGCAATTATTTTTCACGTATGTCCTTAATTATACCTCATTAAGGTTTTACTAAAATCCGAGGGCGTGTGCACACGTGTGAGCGCGCTATAAAAAAATTAATAATTTTTTTTCTAAATATTTTCAAAACATACATATCCAATTACTGACATAAACCTATTTGATCATTGTAACATAACTATGTATTATGCACGATGGACGTCTCCAGGAGGAGGCAAGACAGGGCACTTGGCCCCACCCTAGAAATTTAAATTTGTTACCTAATTTTAATAATTTAATGAAATAATGATGAAACATAATAATTTGCTATAAATAAAATGTATAAAAAAATTTCATTTATTTTAATCAATTTTGCTCCCCCCCTCCAGAAAAATGCCATGGGATGCCAATGTAATACACGTAAAATAAACTTAAACGAAAGTATAAAAACAGTATAATACACTTTAAATAAATTTATGCTTTGTCTATTTGTGTGTTGCAGTCCTGAAAATGTTATTTGGCAATACATGTCCTCCATTTGGAATAGATGTAAACTTTGAAATTGCTACGATACAAAGTACAACAAAAATGTTCGGATGCGCCAACTTGCAACGTAATATGAATATAAGCTGTAGTCCTATATTTAATTTATGGCTTGAGCGTCCAATGAAAACCATCGCACATAGTCATTGTAAAGATGTAAAAAGTACGTACAACGAATTATTATTGTTACCATTAATTTTATTAATTAAATCCGTGTTAATTATTATTCACCTATTATACTTATGTTTTTAAAGATACGTAGTTAATAACAATCACGGTTTAAGATATAATATTTCCCAATATTTCTTTAGTAATATACGTGTTACCTACTAAATTTGGCCTTAAGATCGGTAACTTCCAGTCTCGCTACTCCGTTGTGCACAATCATGCCAACTATAACTTTTTAGTCTTATAGATAATTTTTACATCATCATAAAATCCAGATAATAGTTAAAACGATATTATTATAATATTTTTGCTTTCTTATAAACTTCCTCTTATAATATCATAATTCATAATCGTCAATAATCTTCTCGTTATATAAAACCATTCTGAATGGAATATATCTCTTAATCGATATACACGCACGCGACTTGCTCATTACACTATCTTAAAACATTACTTGTATTAGCATAGCTGATTTCCGAGCAAAAACATTTATCACACTCATGTATTTATTCTACTTTTGTAATCTATCAGATATGGACCACTTTGTATTTGAGTGTTTATCAAAAAGGGAACCGACTAAAAAGGAAGAGATTGCTAAAGGCTGGCATTATATAACATTGATGGAACATGCTAATCCAAACACCACAAATCAAGATATAAATCAAATGGTCTACAGATGTGCCGTGAGTATACTATTTTTATATATTATTTATTATACTACATTTGTACAATAACTAATAAATATAAAAAACGAAATATAGAACGGAAATATCATTAAATTTCAAATGGTATCGCTGATAGTTTTTCATCGGTTTCCTTAATATGCTAATATCATTTGTAATTCACTTTAAAATTACTGACAAATCTGTAGGTCTAAAACGCAACTTCGTCAATCACCATGGATAGGGGTGGTTTCCAATGTATCTGAATGTATAAATATTATAAGTCCTGATTGATTAATTATCTATCATTTACGGTTCGGCCTACAGGTGTACGATGTGAATGACGCCCCTGCCGAGGGAGTAAAAATAATAAGGATGGCGATCAGCGCGCCAAACATAGGACAACTGCACCAAAGACAGTGCGAAAGTCTTTCAAAAACTATGGGAAAGGATGATCTACCACACATTCCCGAAGGACGACGAACTTGGCCTGATAGGTCAATGTATTTGTATATGTTGGGAAAACCGCCCTTAATCGGACCTCCTAGAAAATACGGGGATATCGTTAAGTACCCTACCAGTCGCCCGATGAAAACAACTACAACCATACCAATTACAACAACAGAAATCATAACTACTACAAGGTATATCTAATGAATACTTATAGCATTATTTAATTATTAGAGTTTAATAGTTTTGTTCAATTTATAATTTCTGAACTGCTGAATAGTTCAATATCTATTTTAAAATATTTTAAAATTTTTAGTTGCATATTTAGTTTTTTTAAAGATAATTTTTAAGTTTTTAACCGTTGTGCATTTTTTTCGTTTTAGATTTTTAAAGGACCGATGAATGTATTGATTTTACAATAATTTATTTCTTCTTTTTGAATTTGTCATCCATCTTTTTAACAGTCAAACTACTTCAATTTTTAATTTTTTAAGATTTTCTGGTAGATAATTTGTTAATGTTTTATGATAGGAAAGGGATGACGAAAGTAATATTTCTCTGTAATATTCATTTTTGTTGTGTTATGAGTTAACATTTAAATTTATGATTTATTCATGATACAATTTTCGAGTAAAATTTTGTACAAGATTACTCTAAGTTTCCTTACTAATTATTAAAAAAAAATTACTAATTGGGAATTTAAAAAAGCATTATTATCAAAAATATTAAATATGATGTACTTTGTAATCTTTAATTTACATTTATCAAAAATTGATTTTATTCTATATTTACAGATCCAATAGTTTTATCCAATACCAAACAAGGCGTTATCCACCAATATTTACACCGTATATTAGAACTACTCCAAAATCAACCTTTTTTGACTACCTAGCTATGTTAACTGCTCATCGTCACAACCCTTAGAAAAAAACAAACTCGGTTAATAATAACTCTTGGTTTATTTCTTATTTATTCTCTTGTAACTTATATTTATTTAACATATTTGCATGTACTTTTTGAAAGTAAGAGAATAAATATATTTTTTTAAATTAATTTTTTGTAAACTTTAAAGATACTTATATGTATATTTAATAAAAACATTTATTCAGTTTTTATCTTTATGACGTTTATTTAATATATTTGTAAAATAATTGATAATAGATGTTTACCTATTTAGAAAAATGTAATACTTAAATAAAGTAAATACTATTTTACTCAAACAAAAAAATTTTAAATGGAAAAATATTCTTAGCGAGTGTTTTATATACATATAATTATTAACATACCCAGTAGCAAAACTAGACTTTTTTTATATTTTATTAATTTATATAAAATAGAATTTACTTGTTGACCTAATCATGCAAGGCGATATTTAAAAGACATTTTTCTATCCAAACCTTATAATTTTCAAAATAAATTTAATATCTATAGATATATTTTAAAATTAAAAATAATTTGATATCTTCAAATACTTTACCATAAAATACTATCTGCTCAATTCAACTCCAAAATTTTCATTAATTCGACTTCAGCTTATTGGATTATCTCGACTCCCTTATAAAATTCATAAATATTGTAAAATAAAATAATTTAAAATATATAATTATTTTAAACTCACTGATAAGTAGTTTCTATGAGCCAAGGTATAAACTTAGGTTATAAAATTAAAATAAAAAAAAGGGTAGGCAAGTAGGCACCATACTACTGAATGTATTAGATGTCAATTAATCCACTATCACAGATGTGTTAAATTTGAAATCAATGATATACGAGGCGTGTCCAGAAAGTAAGTGTACTCAATTTTTGTAGGTTTCAAAAAAATTTATTAAAAAAAAAAAATAACGTGGTTACATTAATATATTTGTGTGCTATTTTTCTACATAGTCACCATTTCTTTCAATGCAGGTTGTGAAACGGAAGATTAATTTTTTTATGCCTGCCTCGTAGAACTCTGCCGCCATCTCCTTTGTCCACTTGTCGACCGCCCCCTTCACTTCCTCGTCAGCTGAAAATTTTTTTCCACCCATGTGTTTCTTCAGGGAAGTGAACAAATGGTAATCTGAAGGCGCCAGGTCGGGGGAATACGGGGGATGGTTCAAAACATCCCATCCAAATGAGTCCAACAATTGCTTCGTGACATTGGCCGTGTGGGGTCTGGCGTTGTCGTGCAGCAGGCAGACTCCGCTCGTTAACAGACCCCTCCTTTTATTTTGAATAGCTCTCCTCAATTTTTTTAGGGTCTCACAATATCTTGCTGCGTTGATGGTCTCCTCCTGAGGTAAATATTCAATCAAAATGATGCCTTTGTGGTCCCAAAACACTGATGCCATGATTTTTTTGGCTGAAATGGTGGTTTTGAACTTTTTGGTTGAGGATGGAGTGGTGTGACGCCACTGTTCGGACTGTCTCTTAGTTCCAGGTGTATAGTGTGCAACCCAAGTTTCATCTCCAGTAACAATAGACTTGAGAAAATTATCACCGTCTAGTTCATAGCGTTCCAAAAACTCTCTAGAGGCTTGCACTCGATTCAACATGTGTTGTTCAGTAAGCTGTTTTGGGACCCATCTTGCGCACAGTTTATGAAATCCAAGTGTTTCTGTGATTGTTTCGTGGAACAGAGACCTTGACAGTTGCGGAAACATTGCAGAAAGTTCATCCAGAGTCAATCTGCGATCGTCACGAACCGCATTCTCGACTTTTTTCACAATGTCGTCAGTCAAAATCGACGGTCTCCCACTCCTCAGATCGTCATGTACATTCGTACGGCCGTTTTTAAACTCCCTACACCACTTGTATACACTGGTACGATTCATATGGCCTTTACCATAAACGGTTCGTACCTCATTAAAAATTTCATGTGGAGATTTTTCCTTCGCAACAAAGTAACGGATAACGGCGCGGATTTCGCACTTGGCGGCAGACTCGATCGACATGTTTAACAAGAAAAATTCGTGAGACTACAGTTTACAACGTACTGAACTCGTTCTGGTCTTGTTTTAAAGGTTAGGAGTAACGCTATACGGCAATGTAGCTAACATAGTAAAAAAATATTCCCTATGGCCGTGAGAGCCTCAGTACACTTACTTTCTGGACACGCCTCGTATTATTGTATACGAAAAACAATTCCCTGCGTAAATGATCCATGCCACTGAGTATACATTATAATATGGGAATTCAAACAACTACTAAAGTCATTTATTTTACTTTAAATATTACAGTAGGTTAATGTTGATATAAATTTACTCAAAAATACTGCATTTATTATATTATTAGTATTTAATGATTAATTTAACATACATTTAAACTATATTAATCAATTTGTATAATTAAAAACGTATTAACATTTTCTCACAAATATTACAAGACAGCAAAAATAAGTTGTAAAAATTGTAAAAAAAAAAATTTGATTGCATATAGTAAAATTTATAATACCTTAATATAATAAAAATATTAAGTTTTCACGAATATTGTTTTTAAATTATAACAAAAGACTTAATATCATTATTTATTTCTTAATTTTCTCCAAAATTGTCATTATATATATTTAGTTATTGTGGTTTTAGTATGAACAATTTATGAAGAAATATGTATTCAATTTTCAAGACTTAAGTAAAAAAAATAAAAGATTTTATGGGTTTCTAACTACAAAAAGGTTCACAATGTTTACGATTTCAACAAAATTCTAATTTGAAACGCATTTAAAAAAAAATTCTGCCTACCAAAAAATTAATTTCAAAAATCTATAAAAATAAATAGATAATAATAAATTTTATATAAAAAATATTTTCTCAGCAACAGATTTGATCCATATCAGAGTTTTCTATGATTGATGTAATTTCTATGGTTAATAACTTAGTTAGGAAAAATATTAAAAACAATTATAAGGTAAAAGCTATTTTTGTAAATACAAAAAAAGCATTTGATTGTTTAAATCATAAATTATTACAAACAAAACTAAAATATTTGGGTATATATAAGTGACAAATGTTATTGGAAATTTTTTTAAGTGGTGGAACAAAAAAGATAAGCTAAAAGAAACATTATACTGAAACTCTAGAAGTGTCTTGTGTAGTGCCACAAGGAAGTAGATACAGTATTAGTTCTCTAGTTACTAATAAGTAATAATATTTATTAACAATACACAGTTGATTCTGCTCAATGGAGATACCAGTTAATAAGGCCAATTCTTCAATTGCAAAAACAAATGTACACTAGTAGGGTAAACGTTCAACGCATATCTGGGCCACAAATCCGGATAATTGGGACATTTTTAGATAAGAAACAAAGTAATATTCATTTTTTTTTTTGAATAAGATAAAATACATAATAAAAAATAAAAAATATGTATATGTATTATTATAAATATATTAGATTATTATATCATATTTTTCTTTTTATATTATTAAATAATTTCTTTAATTGTATGTAATTTGTAATATTCAAAATATTTGAAAAAATCAATTTTTCAACAAATTTATATGTTTGTTTATATATTTTAGATTATTGAGACATCCGATTTAATGGAGCAAAATAACATGCAACAAATATATTCCAATAAAGTGGAATCGACTGTATTAAACATAAAAAAAAATTTAAACACAATAATTATGAGCTTTGCAGACAATACTGTCATATTATTATTGGCATTAACTATGGATGCTTTGTATTCTAAAGTAAATAAAACTTTAAGAAATTTTAATTTTTTTGTTTAGCTAAAGATAAATTTAGTCAAATCAATACATATCTTTTTTTAATCTACAATATTATAGTATTTTAAATAAAAATGATTTATAATGATAAAATTTATAAAAAATGGTCAATATAAGAATATGACAATATACCTTTATCATGACTCATGTGTTCAAAAACCATGGCTTATCGCCTGATCAGCATTCTAATAATAGATTATAATATATATTGCATGGGTACCGTACAGTCATAAAATATACAATATACCTAATAGGCTTTCAATATAATCAAGAAAGAATGTGGTGCAATAGGTAAACAGTAAACACAAGCACAAAGCTATAAATCCCAAATTCTGTATTGAGTGTGATGTAAGGCTTTTAATTTTGAAAATGTATATTCGGTAATATAATTTGCATGGAAAATGGTTTTAAAAATAAAATACCTTAAAAACAATAATGTTAACTATTCTTTAAATAAAAGGATGAGACAAATCGTTTGGTTTAGGATTCAAT